GTCAGAGGAAAATGCTATCGTTTGAAATCATCCCAGCGGGAATTTCCTTTGCATAGAAGAGAGAGCAGAGAGAGGAGGAGTCAGAGATGAGATGAGAGGAGATGGAGAGAGGAGAGAGAGAGGAGAGAGAGAAGAGAGAGAGAGAGAGAGGAAGTGAGAGAGGGAGATAGAGAGGAGAGATGAGAGAGAAAGAGAAAGGAGAAAGAGAGGAAGAAAGAACTGAGGAGGAGAGTGGGGGAGGCGGGCGCGGGTGGCGGGGGCGGGGGAGGGGGGGGCGGGGAGGAAATAAAAAAAAAAAAGGTGTGGGGGGGCGGAGGGGGGAACGGGCGAAAGGGGGGGCAAAAAAAAGGGGCGGGGCGGGGGGGCGGGGGGGGAGGGAAGGGGGCGGGGGGGGGGAAAGGGGGGGGGCGGGGGGCGGGGAAGGGGGGGGGGGGGGGGCGGGGGGGGGGGCAAGGGGGAAAATAAATAAAAAAAGGGTGGGGGGGCGGGGAAAAGTAAAAAAGGGGGGGCGGGCGGGGGGGCGGGAAAGGGCGGGCCGGTGGGGGTAGGGGGGCGGGGATGCAGGGCGGGCGGGGGGGGGAGGAGAGAAGAGAGAGGAGAGAGCAGGAGAAGAGGAGAGAGAGGCGAGGCGGAAGGAGAGAGAGAGAGAGAGAGAGAGAGAGAGACAGAGGAGAGACAGAGACAGAGACAGAGACAGAGACCAGAGACAAAGACAAGAAAGAGAGAGAGTGAGAGAGGAGAAAGCAAGAGACGAAGAGAGAGAGAGAGAGAGAGAGAGAGAGAGAGAGAGAGGATGGAGAAAGAGAGAGAGAGGATGGAGAGAGAGAGAGAGAGAGGAGAGACAAGACAGACAGACAGACAGACAGACCCAGACAGATAGACAGAAGACAGACAGAGAAATTAAGAGCGCCAGATCTGTCCTCCAGAATAAGACTAATTAACAGAAGATTTCTATTTAAACCTTGGAAAAAGGAAGAAAGAAAGAGGCCGCTGGAAAAAAGATGGTTGACTGGAGAAATTATACTAATGGCTGACCGCAAGGGTGGAATTCAAATCATTTTAGCGAACCAATGAGCTTTCAGGAGGAAGAGAGAGAGAGAGAGAGATGAGAGACGAGAGAGAGAGAGAGAGAGAGAGAGAGAGAAGAGAGAGAGGAGAAGAGAGAGAGGAGAGAGAGAAGAGAGAAGAGAGAGAGGAGAGACAGAAGAGAGGACAGACAGACAGACAGACAGACAGACAGACAGACAGACAGACAGAGAATAGATAGATAGATAGATATAGATAGATAATAGATAGATAGATAGATAGATAGATAGATAGATAGATATATAGAGAGAGAGGGAGAGAGAGAAAGAAGAAAGAAAGAGGAGAGAGAGAGAGAGAGAGAGAAGAGAGAGATGAGAGAGAGAGAGAGGAGAGAAGAGAGAGAGAGGGAGAGGAGAGGGAAGAGAGAGGGAGAGGGAGGAGGAGAGAGGAGAGAGAGAGAGACGAGAGAGAGAGAGAGAGGAGAGAGAGAGACGAGAGAGAGAGAGAGAGAGAGAGAGAAGGAAGGAGAGAGAGAGAAGGAGGAGAGGCAATCAGTTCATCAAGATTATTTTCATTGCTAACTCAAAATATCCGTGACAATAAAATGAAACAAGAATATCAATCTATATTCATTTCCTTATCGAATTGTACATCAGCCATAAGAGAATATATCTTTACACCTAATATAGATAGATAATAGATATACATGATGCGCAAGAGTAACACTATATATTGTCTCATGTCATCTATTATCATATCATAGATAATCATTATATGTTCTGGAATGAAGATGTTGTTATAAACCTAATCTTATGGTTTAATATAAATGATTGAGTTATTTATGCTACGGTGCTTAGTATCTGAATTTTAATACGGTACAACATGGTGATTATACTAATAAATGTATAAGTCTAATCTATTAATAAGGATTATGGAAATATGTGCTATGAGATTTATTAAGCGATAATTATCTATAAGACAAAGGCATGTCAAAAGGTGATAATGATGTTGTTTTTTATGTGTGCTTAAAGCTCGCTTATTATAAAAGATAGCCTTTTTTTTTTCTTTCTTTTCTTTTTTTTTTTTTTTTTTTTTTTTTTTTTGCTATTGTCCTTTCTTTTCTCTTTTTCTCGGCTTGCCAACAGTACCATTATTATTACCATTTGGATTAGTTTGTCATTTTTATCATTATCATTTATACTATTATATGATAATTATGGCTATCATTATTATATTAGTATCATTATTATTGATATTAGTAGAAGTCATTATATATATATATTATATATATATATATATATATATAATATATATATATATAGATAGATAGAGATAGATAGATAGATAGATAGATAGATAGAGGAGAGAGAGAGAGAGAGAGAGAGAGAGAGAGGAGAGAGAGAGAGAGAGAGACAGAGAGAAAGAGAAGCAAAATACAGACAGAACCAAACTGAAAAAAAAAAAAGAAGCGAAA